CTGCCTCACCTCCTCGTTGAAGAGCACGGCCAAGACGACGTAGCAGGCGTTCCTCCCCAGGCGGATGGGGACGGTGGGTGGGGGGGGACCCTCGAAGCTCGCCCCCACATCCCAACCGCCGCCACCCAGCACCGCATCCAGCTCCGGCACCGGAGCTTCCCCCATGGGACCGGGGTGGGGGGGAGCCCCTCAGGCTGGATGGGGAAGCGGGGGGGAGCAGAGCCCTCAGGCACCCACTCAGGGGGTAGCAGGGTTTTGGGGTGGGGAGGGCACCCCCCAAACGTGCAGGCGGGGGGACAGGGAGCCCCGGCGCTGGGTGGGCTGGAGGAGGCGGTGAGCGAGGGGGTCCGGCGATTGCAGGGTGCACGGGGAGGTGCAATGAGGGAAGGGGTCTCCCAGTGCCGGCGGGGTGCTGGAGGGGAAGGGCTTGCTGGACTGGGGGACGTGGAGGGGGGTGTAACTGGGGAAGGATCTGCTGGGCTGGGGGGGGACGTAGCAAGGGAAGAGCTCGGTGGCCTTCGCGATGCAGGGGGGGGTGCAGTAGGGAAAGGGTCTGCTCGACTGGGGGACGCCCAGGGGGGCGCAGGAGGGGAAGGGCTGGCTCGACTGCAGCGTGTAGGAAGGGAAATAGTAAGGGAAGGGGTCACTGGGCTTGGGGAGGCCGGGGGGGCTGCGGTAGTGGAAAGGCTTGCTGGACTGGGGGAGGCATGGGGGGGCACAGTAGGGGAAGGGCCGGCTCGACTGCAGGGCGTACAGGGGGCTGTAGGGGAAGAGCTCGCTGGATTTGGGGATGCAGGGGGGGCTGCGGTAGGGGAAGGGCTGGCTCGACTGCAGGATACAGGGGAAGCTGAAATAGGTGAAGGGTTTGCTGGACTGGAGGAGGTAGGGGGGAAAGGGTTTGCTGGACTGGGGGACGCTGGGGGGAAAGGGGCGGCTAGACTGGGGAACGCTGGGAAGAACGGGCCTGCTCGACTGGGGGATGATGCCCGGGGTGGGGTAGAAGGGTTCGCTGGGCAGCGGGGTGCACGGGGGGCTGGACCAGGGGGAG